GTTTATCAGATACATATTTAGTATTCTGTATTGTTTATGTTTATCATGTACATACTACTGTTTATCAGATACATATTTAGTATTCTTTATTGTTTATGTTTATCATGTACATACTACTGTTTATCAGATACATATTTAGTATTCTTTATTGTTTATGTTTATTATGTACATATACTGTTTATCAGATACATATTTGGTATTATTTATTGTTTATGTTTATCATGTACATACTATTGTTTATCAGATACATATTTAGTATTCTTTATTGTTTATGTTTATTATGTACATATACTGTTTATCAGATACATATTTAGTATTATTTATTGTTTATGTTTATCATGTACATACTACTGTTTATCAGATACACACTGTTCTTTGTAATGTTCCTTTTCCATCAGAAAAATATCATTTTTGTATGTACATCTTGTCTTCTTTGTTTCATTTGATATCAAATATCATACAGAGATGTGTTCTGTGCGTGAATTTTCCTTGTCACAAACAAATTATGGTATATATTTTTTCATAATCATATATATATACATATATCATCCTGTAAAATTTTTAATATAAAGATGAATTTTATCCTGTAACCTCGATTTATATCAGAAATATTTCTTCTCTATCAAACACGTGATCTTCTATTTTTCTTCCTTATCCAATACATTTTGTCGATTTATTTTCTTCTCTTTCGGATCTTTCTATATTTCTCTTCTACTAGATACATAAATTCCTAGATTTTTTTTTCCGTGAAATACAAAATATCTTCCTTTTTTATTATATACTTACCAACATTAGTGTTTGTTCTATATCAAATACATTTCAATATAAATGTTTTCTATCAGATAATACTACCTCATACGTTTATTACTGGTCAGATAATATTTAGTCTGCCAGTTATTCTTTATCGAGTACGTGTTATTTTCTTTCTGCTATCATTATTCAGTATCATAAACGTGCTATTCTCTATCAGATATATATCTTTCTTCTGTACCTCACATATATTATGTGCTTATATATTTACTCACTGTGCTGCTGAGTTAATACTAATTTTAGAGAGAGAGTTAACACTTGACTTAGCTATAAAACATAGATAAACCATAAAAATGTGTTGTTGTTGTTGTTTTCTTAATGTGCCAATGAAATGTGCTGTTTCACCTGAGCAGGTTTTCAAACCCGATTGGAGCAATATCTGCTACTCGAATGACTTTAGCTTTGTCCGCCATGTCTCCATAAAACATAGACTCGAACACGGGACTCGTCATAGCCAGAAGGACCTTGTGGCCAACATATTTTTTGGACGCCGTCGTCGGGCCTACGATGAAGGTGACGTCAGTAAAGGACTTGTTCTGGAGCAGCGAGGACGTACGATGAAGAACCTTCTTACTGTCCATCTGCCAGTCTTTCATGGCATTCTACATGCTGCCGAAATATACAAGAGTTTAGTAAGATGTCCTCTTAGTTCGGTAACCTAACAATACTGTAACACCGTACTTTGTTACACCAAGCATCATTGCCTCAGAAACTGTGAGGTAAACCAAACTATCTTTATGTAACTGCTCATCAGTAATATATCAGGTTTTGCTGAAACAATCTTGTGATAATACGGATTTATTGAATTAATAATACACCATGAATTAAACTCCTTTCCTTTGTGTGGGTGTGTAGGTTTTATATACACCATAAATATTGCGTTGGTATTTAATAGGCTTAAACAATTGGGTTTAAAAAACAGGATTTTCATAAATTTCCTCGAACAACTGTAGTTTCATAAACTTCCTCAAATAACTGGAGTTTTATGTATGGTTTCACACAAGAGAAATTTCATTAGTATCCATCTCTTTGAACACAAAAAATGACATTTAACAACAACAACAACAAAACTAACAACAAATATTTGAACTGAGTTATTTCAAACAACGCAAAAAATTGATAAAAAAATATATAATAAAAACAAAGTAACGCAGATCCGAATACTATTTAAAATGTGTTACATACACTTTAGTAGAGCTCTTGCTACACGATTCACTCATTGGAACTTATAAACCTCTATTTCCTTTTTTATTGCTATGATAAAAAAAAATTCACGATTATGTTTTAAATATATATATATTGTATTTTTATTGTACCAAATTATTTCTGAATAAATGCAGCTTGTTTTTACTAAGTACTAATATTTGAAATTTAGCAAAGGTATTTATGAGTTATGTTTTTCAATAATTATATCAAAATTGTCTTCGTATATAATATTTCAAGCACATTTCTTTTTCATGTTCGTTTAAGTTTAGTATTTGCTGATTAGCATGATAAACTTTGAAAATTGTAATGTGAGAAGCGGTTTCGTCGTCCGATGGGTGAATGGTAGATTTACGGACTTACAAAATCCGGAGTTTGATACCCCGTGGTAGACGGAGCGCAGTTTTGTGTAGCTTTGTACTAAGAAATAACAACAACAAGAAGCAGTTTTTATAGCGTATGAGTAGACTTTATTCTTCGAAAAATAATAAAATAATCAACACGGAAAAAAAAAACAAATAAAGAGAGGCAAGATAATCCAGTTGGAGTTAAGACCAACTGTATACCTCCTGTTAAAGATCTTTAATTATGTCAAAGAATATAGAACAGGATGAACAATGATTATAACATCTAAAAACATAGAGGAACATGCTAGAACATTAACAAAAATTGTTTTTATATTCTCAAGATAATAATTACCTACTCCTTGCCTCTGAAATAACTTTTTTCGTTGTACAGTAACCAAATCTTTGGGGTTTCATGTGACTTATAAAAGAACTTGAGGGTTCATTCATACACAGATTATAACTTCAATGAAGTTTCAATTATTCCTCTGAATTGAAGTTTAGTACTTTCCCAATCAAAATAAAAATATTAATAATAATAATACTTACAACGTGATTTGTGAAATGGAATGTGTCAATTGCTCAGATTATTATGAGTAGACTAGTAAAAAGTGAAACCTGTATCAGTTTAACCACATCTTCACGTGTGTTTTTTCCATTAGAAGCTGTTCATCATTGAACATATAACATATTGGAATGATCAAAACAAAGAAATTAAAAAGGAAGCATTAAACTTTTCTCACTTTAATTTTTTCACAAATGGTCCCATCCTAATGGAACGTCTGTCAAGTTACTGGTTGAGTTGTTGTTGTTTATGTTGCTCAAGTTGTTGGCTGAGTTGTATTTGTTGTTTATGTATTCCATATTATTGGTTGATTTGTCAGTATTTTTGTTTATGTATTCCATATTATTGGTTGATTTGTCAGTATTTTTGTTTATGTATTCCATATTATTGGTTGATTTGTCAGTATTTTTGTTTATGCATTTAATGTTATTAACTGGGTTGTTTTTATTATTTATATGTCTCTTGTTCTATGTCCTGATGACAAACTAACTTAGATATTGTTTGTTTGTTATGAATTTTGCGCAAAGCTTCACAAGGGCTATCTGCGCTAGCCGTCCCTAATTTAGCAGTGTAAGACTAGAGGGAAGGCAGCTAGTCATCACCACCCACCGCCAACTCTTGGGCTACTCTTTTACCAACGAATAGTGGGATTGACCGTCAGATTATAACGCCTCCACGGCTGATAGGGTGAGCATATTTGGTGTGACAGGGATTCGAACCCGCAGACTGCGAGTCGAGCTCCCTGACCACCTGGCCATGCCGGGCCAAACTTAGATATGCCTTAAGCGTTCAGTTATTATAGCAAAACTGCAAATAGGCTGGCTATCCGCGCTGTGCTCACCGCAGAGATCAAACCTAAATTTTAGCATTATATGCCCTCAAGCTTATCGCTGAACAATTGAAGGGCTTATTAAGTTGCATCCGTTATTAATTTATTAATTAAAGCAATAATGCTAAATGATTTTAACTTTGTAACATAAAACATTAAATAGACAGATAGAATCTTTCAAATGTTATTAAAATGAAATTAAAATTTCTATGATGATGGTTATGTAGGTCTTACTGGTACTAACAAAACATTTTTAAACAATGCGTGATCTTGTTGTGCTCATAAACTAGTTTTATACATTTGCAGGACATTCTGCTAAACTAATTGGCTTTTACTATCAGTACCGTACAAAATTGCTTTAACTTAGGTTTTACCGTATTACAGTAAATTAATAAGAAAAGATACACGCGAAATTCCGTGTTGTGCTGGTTGTCATGGATACGAGGGGAGATTCCGAATACTAACCCCTGAAAGACTGAAGTAATACATTACAGCAATTTTTATTCTTTATTTGATTCTCATTTTCAACCAAACCACGGTAAAATAATAAAACTCTGGTGATACCAAAGCACGTTTCTAGCTCAGCGTGTTCTTTGGTTTCACCATATATATATATATATGTGTGTGTGTGTGTGCTCGTGCGTGTGTGACTGTTTTGCCATTTTACTTCAACAGATTTTTCTTTCTTAACATTCCCCCGGTGGGAGAGCGGTAAGTTTACTGACTTACAACCCTTTGATCCGGGGTTCGATTCCCCGCCGAGGACACAGCAGAAAGGCCAACGTGGCTTTGCTCTGAAATATCCAACCAAACAAACAATCTTCCTTAAGTGTAGATGAAAAATAATTACAGTATAAAAATTTTAAGATAAATTCCAAACCTAAATTTGTTTATTATCTAATATTGTTGTCACTAGATTTCAGTTTTCTTTAGGAGATGAAAAACAAAATCCCACTTGTTCAAGACCATCTGTTTTTTCAACCCGAACAACACCTTATGTAACATATCGGCTAAACAGCCAGGAAAGAGACACAATGGTTCAGCCAAAGCTGTCCATAATTTAGAACTACTGATTGGAGGCAGGACAACCGGTCAACAGTACTTGTAGCTTACATGAATACCCTTAACCAATTCCAGTTATAACTTCCCTATACCTGAAAGTGCGGAGTGTGTTACCCGATATATTGCGGGCCTGATCCTTGGGACTGCTGATCCTCAGCCCGACACGCTAACCATTATGTTATGCCCTGACCAATTTGCAAATTTCTACCTTTTGATACATTCTAACGATTCTGTTAACCTTCTGACACATTACAGGACTTTTTAAAGCATAGCTATCGAAACTATTTTAAAGTCTACTAAGTCATATATACTAAATTTACAAGAATGCCTTTGCAACTTTACACGTTTCTATTGAAGCTATTTTAAAGTCTACTAAGTCATATACACTGCATTTAAAAGGATGCCTTTGCAACTTCACACGTTTTTATTGAAACTATTTTAAAGTCTACTAAGTCATATACACTAAATTTACAAGGATGCCTTTGCAACTTCACACGTTTCAGATAAAAGTCTTCCGGTGGGTCAGCGGTAACTTTACGGACTAAAATCCGAAGTTTGATTCTCAGCGATGGACAGAATGCAGATGGCCATTTTGTAGCTTTGCATTAACAAAACAACAGCTTCAGAATTAAAAATTACCAACTAACACTTCCAAAGCGAATATTTATTTCGTGCTAATTTCTATACTGAATGTCTCCCCCCTTCCCTGTGAAATAGCTAAAATCCAGGCCAGAGGTCAATTCCGCGAGGCGAACACAGCAGATAGTTCAAACTCAAAGTGGCTTTCCTTTCAAATAAACAAACTATACTGTCCACAAGATGTAACACATTTGCAACAGTTTGTTTGTTTGTAGTTAAGCACAAATCTACACAATGGGCTATTTGTGCTCTGCCCACCACGGGCATCGACACCCGGTTTCTAGCGTTGGAAGTCCACCGACATACCGCTGTGCCACTAAGTGGCCATATTCAACAGATAAATTATCAGAAAACGATTGATTTTCGATCTAAGAACAAAGATCTACATCTAAAAATCAAGAAATGTCAGCGTTATGCTAGCGCTTTATCAATGAGCTTAAATAACCATAACTGATATTATACTTGGTGTTTTTTTACTTAAACTTGACTCAAATCTTCTTCTTAAAAAAACAAACATTTTTTTGTCTCTTTTAAATAAACAGAAAGAACGGTTAAGAAATACAAGTGATTTAAATTATTTTGATTTATAATTTTCCTGGGAGCCAAGCGTGACCTAATGGTTGCGTGTTCGAACTGTGAATCCGAGAGCTCATGGTTCGTGGCACATTACCGCAAAAACGCACTCCGCACTGTGAAGCCGTAGGTGCTTTATAAAAAAAAAGTGATGAATCCCACTATTCTGTCATAAAACAAAAGTAGTTCAAGAGTCGGCGGTGGGTGCTATCAACTATCTGAATTCCTTCTAGTCTGTCAGTTAAAAATTAGAAACGGATTGCGCAGAAAGTCTTGATGTAACTTTGCGCGAAAATCCTGACACAAATAAAACGTTTACATGCTTTTGAATAAACGTTTACATGCTTTTAATTCAAATTTTACTCGATAATTTTAACTACA